GAGGGGGACTCTCCCTCCAAGAAATAGCCGCCTCCCTGTCCTCCATCCCAGAATGGATTAACGGTAATTAAATTGAACCTTATGGGGAAATTTGCTTCAGGTTGCGACCAATTCAGGGTGCGACCAGAGTCACAGAACGAATTAAGTTTGTAAACCGAGGTTCCACTGTATGCTGTCCATTGAAAAGAAGCTGAGATGACTGGTAATGAAAGGGCATTTAATGATCCAGTTCAGAGATTAATTTTACACTGCAACAGCTATATGTCTCTACTCTGATTTTCTTTCAGCAGACTTCAGCAGACTTTTCTTTCAGCAGACTTCAAGAGTAACGGACAATGGAATACAATGTCCTCTTTTTTCTCATGCATCCCACTGCAGGTAAATGGTTTTTGTAAAAAGAAAAGAAAATCCTGCTTATCCCCATCCTTTTTAAATTCATTATTGCACAGTAATCAAGCTCTAGTCTTTATTATTATGGGAACAGGAATAAGGAAGTTTACTTCAATACCCAGTTTGTTAACTAGTTGGTAAAAAATAAAACAAATGTATCACCAAAGAAGATTACAATAAAGAACACAGATTTTTAATTAGCATAGCCTAATTTATATTGAGGCAAGCAGTGCCTATAATTTAAATAGAAATATAAACTATCTAACCACAGAGCAAATGTGTCTGCTCAGTCTGTTCTCTGGGTTCTGTTGATGAAAACGTCAAGGCATTGCCTCGCTCCAACTGAGTTAACTTCAACTAAAAAGACTGGGAAACGGTGGTCTGCCAACTATTGCTAAACTATAACTCCCAGTAGTCTCAGCCAGTATAACTAATGGTGAGGATTGCTGGGATGGTAGTTCAATAACACTTGAATAGCACATACATGGCAGGGAATAGTTTTCCTCTGTTCTTCCAATTAGTAAATGTTTTTGACAAAACAAGGAAGACTATGTTTGCCTAGGACAATAGCATGAAATATGATTCTTATTCTAAATAAAGTCATGTTTAAGCAGGGCAAAACTAGTATTATTTTGAAATTAATTTACATCTTGATATTATGTAAATTATACTCTCCATAACTGAATATTCTGCTTGGCTGTACTGAAAAGACAGAACCTCCACCAGTAAATATTCCATGAAAATGCAAAATGTAGTCCCAGTGCAAATTAAAAATAAAGCTTTCTGTGATAGTCCCCAAGTTCTTTCATAAGAAGCAAAGAACCTGAAACAACTGGAGGGATGAAAAGTAGCAAATATAAATGGTTTTATATATTCACTGTGATCCTGAGTAAAGGGTGAATTTAGGATTTCTAATAGCGGTTTCATCTGCAAGTATATAAGAACAATTTAGTGCTAGCAAATATATTCCTATAAGTAAGCAGACTTACTACTGCCCTGCAGTACATTTTCAGAATAAAAGTCCACACACCTTGCTTGCATCAAATTTAGCCCCTTCAATTCAAACTAAGCCTTTAAAGTTTTTGGCTTCTGTACATCATTCCCAAAAGCTTCCTTTCAGCTGAAGAAGTGCCAACATCCAGAGGTTTTTGGTAAGAGTCTTATGTCTTTACTGTTTGTGTTGATGCACAAATTTAGATTGCATGAAGGGAAATACCTGGAGAAATTCCCTCATCAACACAACATTGTAACTTCTACCCTTCAATAGGAAATCTCCACAATTTGTGGGTTAAAAGCCAGAGCTTGTGTGATCTCTTGGACCCACATACATCCTATCCATCTATGCACAAGTGCTCTGTCTGAGGGGAAATTAGGTCATTTGATAAATGTGTTTCTTCCTTGTAAACACATTTATTGCAATTAAAAATGCAATGGTATCACATTTGTTTTAGCATGGGTATGAGGCTATTTCACTGAGCTATATTCAGCCTTATTGGTTGGGGGCTCCCAAAGAGTTTATTTCTATGGAAACAAACCACAGGACTGCATCGCACAGATGCAAACTTAGTCTGCTCAGAAGTAAACCCCACCGAACACACTGGGAGTTAGTTTTCTTAAGCATATTCAATTAATGCCTCTTCCTCTGTCAAGAGTGTGAGTGTATTAGAACACCTGTGTCATCACACATTACAGTACACCAAAATCACATTAGTTTATTTTTGGCTTTGCAAGCTTTAAATTTAAATCAGAATTTTAACTTATCACATATGAATTGTGGCTTGTTCAACCAAGCATGGCTGAGTACTTTTTTTTCTTTTCTTATTTGCCTAATGTTTATATTCTCCAAATCAATCAACTCTGGATGGTGAACAATAAAGCATAGAACAGACAATCCACAATACAACACAGCGTTCCCAACTCAGTGCAACTTAACTAAAAATGGCTCCCAGGTCCCATCTACACAGATTGAATGCCTGCTTAAAAAGAAGAGTTATCAAAGCTTTCTGCAGCGCCAAGAGCAAGGGGGTCAGCTTTCTCTCTGGGAGCAGCATGGCGATTGTGAACAGCCACTATCTTTCCAGTTTAAATATTTCAAAATATTCCATTTTGTGATAATTCCCCAAGAAAGAAAGAAAAAAGAAAAGTGGTGCCGGTGTCCCTTTTCACCAGCAGCCCCAACCAATCCCCTTCTTTGCCTTCTCCTTCTCCTCTGTTGACTTGCATGAATCAGGGAGAATCATAATTATTAGCTGCATCTGCTGTGTCTGGCAGATAAGACCTGGGGACCCTCCAAATGATGAGGTGGTGGACATTCCAAAGCGTCGCCAGCCCTGAGTAAGAAGCTGACATGTCTCCCCACGCACCACGCGTGCTGCCTTTGGTGGCAAAGGTTTCAGCTAAAATATTCATGATCTCCATAGTTGCAAAGCCCCAGCCTTTCTTCAAAAGGCCGTTCTATTGCTAAGAGGCAACATTTATGAATCAGGGGTCCTAGGAAGTCTTTGGCATAACAAGGAATAGAAATCTTCGGGAGCAGGTGAGCAGTTAAAGACTTAATGATTAATATATATAAAAACAAACTCAGGAAATATTGTTGTTGTTTAGTCGTTAAGTCGTGTCCGACTCTCCGTG